ACGCTCTTCGCATTATTAATAATAACCGGTGATTTCGCTTCGAAGGGGAAGATAGAGGAGAGAGCTCCCTAGTTTCTTAGCGTTTAAGTTGGCTTCGGTTCGTGACGGGGCCGCCGTCGTACGAAAACATTCCTCGTCGATTTACTTTCGGGAATCCACACATAAACGTTGACGTATTTAAGGGAGGCTGTAAACCATCTATTTCGGTGTCTCGGATGCCGCGGATGGTCGCAACGTCCCGGATTATGGCTCTATACGTGACGGCGTGAACATTGTGAAATTTTCAGTCACTTCCTCGATGACGTTTCATTGCCGGAAACATCGCGACATATTTACGAGGTGTTTCATTACTAGAATGCCAAGTACAAATCTTTCAAGCGGCTAGAGTGCTTGCACGAAAATTGCATTTATATAAAGACAATCGATATAATATATATATCTAAAATCCGTTTTTATATCATATATACATATACGTATTTTTTTATTTGGCTAATATTATTTATTTCTCTTGTATAAAGCTGTGGTATAGTATTTAAAAAAAAAATGCAAAACTAATAAATTATTATTAAAGTATAAAACATTTTAATTAATTAATAATATAATATTAGCAATTAGAAGATTGAAATTCATCGTGTCAGGCCTACGAAATGCAAAAAATTCGTCATTTAGATGCGATAAGGCCGACGAGAGTTTTGTTTTATCTGTCAGTGATATTCGTCCTCGCCTTACAACGGCTGCCGGTTATATCGGAATTGCTATCGCTACCAGGAGGAGGCCACGTCGCCGAGCAGATTTGCTGGTTGAACGGCGGTACGACAAGGAGTTATGATATCGGCGCCGATCGCCGCGCCAAGTGAAAACACAGTGGCGTGAGTAATATACAACCGTAGGGCGATCTTTTATAGTGCGGAAGACCCCGAAGGGAATGATCCGCGACTACGTCTTGCGGAGATAGGATCGTTCTAGCTCGGCGAGAACGAGAAAAGAGGGTCAAGGAGGAGCGAACTCGGAGCAGTCAGCGGATTCTAGTCGTAAATAAAAGCAAGTCTGCTACCAATCCTGTTTGCCTTGTCGTCATGCTGCGTTGTTGCATCTTCTAAACGGGAGTTTTCGAAGCGACTGATGAAGAGAAATCCGCCGATCAGTTAGTTGAAAATAAACTGCAAACGTCGTTGTTTGTCTCATCCGTTCTTTTCCTTCTTTTTAAATGAAAAGAAAGAACAAGACTTGAAGTCAAATTCATCATTAATGCTTTAAAAACGTGTCCTTGGATATCTACAATAAAAGATAAAATTTAAAATGCAATCGATTGCATAATTATTTGGAGGCGTTCGTCTAGGAGATAGACTTGCGACGAATCAATAAAAATTCCGACCAGTCTCCGATCACACGCACGCCTCGACGAGGAGGCCGGACACGCGCTTGATTCTAATTCGAGCAGCATCATCGAACACTCATTATTCGTATTCCGTTAGACGTGAACAGCAGCGGAACACGCGGAATGTCCGCGTGAGCAAATGACAGCGGGATCGGCGGGTGAGCGATCGATTGGCCGGCAAAGTGGCACGGCACGGCCAGCTGCCGTAATCGAGGCTGAACTAAGTCCGCGTGTCTTCTGCCAGCGCGAAGGTAATCAGGGCCACGGGGTCTGCAATTACCGGTGGGCATTATCGGCGATAGTAGCTCAGTATGGTAGCCACCGCTCCGCTATCGCGGTATGATGATAGCCGGACTCGACTCTTCTCTCTTTTTCTCTCTCTTCCGTCTTCTCTCTCTTTCTTTTGCAATTCGCAGAGGTGAGTCGGTCCGGCACCCTCGACGAGGAATATTAAACGCGATGCGGCGGCGGACACCGCGTGCGTACACACTACCGATTAAACCGGCAGGACGCCTGCGATTTGAATGATTAGATAGAGGGTCGACGATTCGGAGATCTTGCTGGTGGTCAAATAACAGCCTCCGGGCAGGAGAGCGGCCGCGTTCGTGACCAGTAGGCACGCATATCCCGGCGCGGCGGGTCGATAGTTCGCTCGTTCGGCCCAAGAAGAAGAGCCGAGAGCCCATGCGGGAGATGCACGCCGGTATATACGTAAGTACACGTGTCTGATTGAACGACCTAGCCGGTCGTTCTCCAACCTCATCCTCTTCCTCCTCCTCCTGCGCCATCTCTTCCTTCCTCTTACCGCTCTTGCTTCTCGACAGGTGTGTCGGCCGGCGATTAATGCCTCGATCGTCCCGTGGATCAAAAACGCTCTTAAGGCGAGCTAACTGCGCGCCGTATACGGTAATTTCGTGGATATGAGTCCCGCGCATCTTGATTTCCTATCCGCTTTTAATCGTAAGCGCGAGAAGGAGAACGTGTTTATGGGAATGGGGAATAATTTCAGGAGGCGTTCGTCCGAGAAAACCGAGCCGGATGGACCAACGGAAGCTGCACCCGAGTCTGAATAAATTAGAACTTTAACAATACTAAACGTTTATATTACACTAATAATTAAATTATTTAATGTATTTTAAGAACGTAATCATCACTTATTTTATATTTAATTTTTCGTAGCATAATTTAAACTGATTTTTTTATCGAGTTTTGTAATTTAAAAAAAGTTAATTATATTATTGATATATTAATTACTTCTGGAAAAAAAATATTTTACATTACAATATAATTCTAAATTTTTTACCATAGCTTTTTCTCTTATCAACACGCTTCTGTAAAAAGATATTGTATCTTTATTATTATGTTATAATATTCAGAAATTTGAAATTATTCTTATAAATTAGTTTTATATAATTATTGAAAATATATATATATATACCTCCCTACAAATTTTAAAGATATGAATGTTTTCAAACTCCGTATTTTTAAATCCGAAAAGAATGATTACTTTCACATATGATGCAATTGTGCACATTATTTTTCATTTATATATTATACAACAAACAGAATATAGAAAATCTGTATATGTGTATTATATTCTACAAAAATTTTTATCAAAAAACTAATCAGAGCCGACGAAGGACTACAGCACAAACTATAAAAAAATTTCGTATTATATTCGCGTGTATTCGTGTTATATTTATTGTGTTCATACTGGGTGCACTTAAGCGTCAGCGAACAGACGGAAACGGTAAACGCAATCTAGGATTAAAGTTCGCGGAACCCTCGCTCGTTACGTCGCGGGCAACGAGCCCGTTCTAATTAACCGAGAGAGCTGAATTATGCAAAGATGCCGCGGGGTGCACGCTCACCGGAAGTTACGCCGCAAATTCTCGCTACGAGTCTACTGATGATAGGCACGAGACGACGCGTCGTCGCCGCCTCGCGCCGCCACCTCGTCCATCTCTCCGCGTACGTCGAGCCGCGAGAAGGCCTCGGTCCATCGTCGCAATCCCAGCGCATCTGCGGCATCGCCGCGCAAGCAATCAGACACCACCCGCTGACTCCGAGAGGACACGTGGAATTCACTACCCGAGCGTCCCGCGTTTTTTGCTTCCGCGCCGTCGCCGCTTCCTGAAGTCTTCATTACCGCACCGGCGTGAGAATCGCGCGTGATGTTTGCATACGAGTTGTCATTAGCGTTCCTCTGGCTCGGTCGTTCGGCGGAGACAGAATCAAACTTGGTTTCCTGCTTAATCGGCTTGTAGACGAAGTGCGACCATTTATCCAGATTCTCTTTATTGTAGGGATAGCAATCGCCGGGTAATCGTACATAATCGCCGTCGTCGATGTACTCATTTTCTACGTCTTCCACGTTCGAATCCCAATTAGTATTCTTATTGCTTTCTGTGATGGGTTTCGAGTCTTCTTCGCTTAACTTTGCGTTCGACGATTTGATTCGATCACTGTCAGTTGGTGGGGTATCGAAATCGATATACGCAGCGTCTTTATTACGTGAATCGTAGCGTTCTATTTCGTCCTGAACGTCCTCGTCTTTAAAGCAAGTTTCATCCTTTGGTGCAGATTCAGAAGATAGAAGAGTATTTTTTTTGTAATGACTAGCGGTTTGCGACTGATTTAATAAAATCTCCGTTTCTTTGTCCGCGATAACGTTCTCGGCAAAATTGTCAGTATCCGGTGACTTTTTATTGCTACTTGAAAATGTTCGAGATTCTAAAGAGGATGAAAGAGGTCGTTTGACGCTTAACGAATTACTCGCATTAGAATCGTTAGATTTTCCTTCCTTATTCCAGCTCTTCGAATCTGTCTCTTCTTTACTCTGCTGATTCAACGTCTTAATCACCTCTTTAGAACTCTCAGAATTTGTAGAGAAAGCTGATGTAAGCCTTGAACATTTCATCTGCATGATTTTATCGACGAGAGCAGGATTATTTGAAAGTGTTGCGATGTTACTTACATGCCGATGTGCATAAGGAATCTGCATACTCGCAGTATGAAGTCTCTTGCTGGATACATAACCGTCTGGTTTTTGCGGCGATCCAAAATGCTTCATCTCCATGGATTTCACGGCTTTATATCCTGAATTGGATTGATCAACTTCTTGGTCTTCCAAGGTGTCTTCGCTAGACTTCACGACTTGCACGTCTAACTTTGGCTGCGGTGCTTCCGGACGAATCGATACCATATCCATATTTTCCAAGTTATCAGGCGACATGTAAATTTCCTTGTGAAATACTGTTTTCGATTTCATCGCGACATTCTTCCAGGCAGTGATCTCAGTTTCCAAGGTCGTCCCTTCCGGAACGTTATACTCGTCATCGATCGCTATCGTCTCTTTCAACTCATTCAACGATGTCTTAATGATTTTCCGAAGGGCTTTAGAACTATCCGCGTCAGTCTTTTCTTGCTGCGGCGTAACAGAATTACTATTCGGCGAAGTTTGGTTTGCCCGATACGACGGAGTCGACAAATATTCCGCGATCGTACCTTTCAAGCTCGACGCGTCCGACTCTTTCGTTGAAATGTTTACCGGCGAGAAAACGTTATTTCTCGTCTCATTGGCGATGGTATCACTACTCTTGGAGATCGAAAAGGTGTTTCGATGCTCTTCCGCATTTCTCCCGAGATCCTTGGACGCCGGCGAAGGAGCACCCTCGACATCCGGCTTCAGTTGTTTCAAGTTCACTCCCCAAAACCGCTTCGTGACGTATCGCTGGCTCTTTTCGGCCAAGTTATCGTTATCGCTCGCCTCGGCGGCCGGCTCCTCGGCGAGTTTCACGCCCCACTCGTAACGAAACGCCGTGCCGGGGTCGCCCTTTGGGTTATCGCCCGCTACCATCTCCGCTCGGTTCTCGCTACTATCGGCGAATTCGCCATCCGTACGTATTACCGGCTTCTTCTTTTCTTTCCTGTCTTTCTTCTCATCTGTCTTCTCGCGCTTTTCGGGCATGTTCGGCTCCCTGACAGGCGGCTTCGAGTTCCTAGGAGCGAAATCCGCGATCGCGCGCTTCGACACGCCGATATTTCTATTTAAAACGCACGATTCCAGAAGTGGTTGTTTCGTTCGCGGTGGCAGGCGATAACAGTGTCTCGGATTCGTGTAACGACGATAATGTGCGGCCACATCGGAATCATCTCTTGCCGCAAATTTCATCACGTTTCTCTCCGATCGATGTATCTCGCCAGGATTGAACCACGCAAAGTCAGAGTCCGTTCCGCGTTCTAAAGTTTTTTTACTCGACTGCGACGAGATATAAGTCGCCGACTGTTGAATCGCATTCGCGCGTTTTTCGTCGTTTCCCGCGTTATATTTCTCGATGCGGATATTCCCATCCTCGAACTTCGTCATCGATTGCGTCGTGTTGAAATTGGCTAGTTTTTGATTAACGACATCGACCTTGCCCGAAGAGTCTGCTGGCCATTTCGAAACCGTTATTTCTGGATGATCGAGCGTTGTAGCTGCGCGATCTATGGTCACGATCGATGTGTCAGTTTCGTGGGTTCTATCTTCTGCAACTTATTCGATGACTTACGTCATGTAATATAGCGTGGCAAACAAAAAGTTAAGATATTTGTAGTTTCTTACATATAGGCGCATGTAGATGCATCTTTATAAACCTTTCTTTCTATTTTATTTGATAATTCTAATTTTAATTGCGTGTACATATCATTAATATTTATTAAAAATATTTTCTAATAATAATATCGTAAATTATTTTGTGTGTGTGTGTGAATTATTTACAAAAATTATCATCGTAAAATATCACGTCACGAAGCTTACATCATTTATTATAAATGATGTAATCTTTATCTTACAATTAAACGAATTAATCTGCTGGCAAAAGAGAGCACATGTGATATCATGAATTATATCATGAATTATATCATGATTTAATTTTTGTGCATTATATAACATAAATTACGTAATGATGCACGACAAAAAATAACCTCTGTCCTAAATATAACGTCGTTATGCGGCTCACCTACGGGTTTATTAAATATGTCCTTCAGCCAAGTGAGGAAGCCCTCTCGTTCGCCTACGGTCTTCTCATCGATATGCAAGACGGACGCTGCGTAAACACAAATGTCGCGTTAAAAAATGTCATTCGCAAAATCGCCGAGTGTGTGACATCTTATGACGTGCCGTATATTTATAGCGATGAACGCGTGATTGCACGGTCGTGTCTGATATTTAGGGTGACTGACCGGCAGATAAATTCCTTCGGGACTTGGGGCCGAACAACTCCCGTACGACGTGGGTCGGGGCACATTGTCGCATCGCGCCCCTCGAATTCGAAGAAAACGCGCACATATTTCGTAGATTATACTGGCAGAATTTTGACGATAGATTTTTTTGCATTTGCCTAATCTTTGATTGCTGTAGGATCTTATCGACGAACTCGCCAGACTGTCTTTTACCGAGCCCATTTGTCTATCTCCTCGTCTGATTTGTCGTGTGATTTCGTTTGTTATTGAATGAAACGGGCATGTTCGGCTCCCTGACAGGCGGCTTCGAGTTCCTAGGAGCGAAATCCGCGATCGCGCGCTTCGACACGCCGATATTTCTATTTAAAACGCACGATTCCAGAAGTGGTTGTTTCGTTCGCGGTGGCAGGCGATAACAGTGTCTCGGATTCGTGTAACGACGATAATGTGCGGCCACATCGGAATCATCTCTTGCCGCAAATTTCATCACGTTTCTCTCCGATCGATGTATCTCGCCAGGATTGAACCACGCAAAGTCAGAGTCCGTTCCGCGTTCTAAAGTTTTTTTACTCGACTGCGACGAGATATAAGTCGCCGACTGTTGAATCGCATTCGCGCGTTTTTCGTCGTTTCCCGCGTTATATTTCTCGATGCGGATATTCCCATCCTCGAACTTCGTCATCGATTGCGTCGTGTTGAAATTGGCTAGTTTTTGATTAACGACATCGACCTTGCCCGAAGAGTCTGCTGGCCATTTCGAAACCGTTATTTCTGGATGATCGAGCGTTGTAGCTGCGCGATCTATGGTCACGATCGATGTGTCAGTTTCGTGGGTTCTATCTTCTGCAACTTATTCGATGACTTACGTCATGTAATATAGCGTGGCAAACAAAAAGTTAAGATATTTGTAGTTTCTTACATATAGGCGCATGTAGATGCATCTTTATAAACCTTTCTTTCTATTTTATTTGATAATTCTAATTTTAATTGCGTGTACATATCATTACTTTTTATTAAAAATATTTTCTAATAATAATATCGTAAATTATTTTGTGTGTGTGTGTGAATTATTTACAAAAATTATCATCGTAAAATATCACGTCACGAAGCTTACATCATTTATTATAAATGATGTAATCTTTATCTTACAATTAAACGAATTAATCTGCTGGCAAAAGAGAGCACATGTGATATCATGAATTATATCATGAATTATATCATGATTTAATTTTTGTGCATTATATAACATAAATTACGTAATGATGCACGACAAAAAATAACCTCTGTCCTAAATATAACGTCGTTATGCGGCTCACCTACGGGTTTATTAAATATGTCCTTCAGCCAAGTGAGGAAGCCCTCTCGTTCGCCTACGGTCTTCTCATCGATATGCAAGACGGACGCTGCGTAAACACAAATGTCGCGTTAAAAAATGTCATTCGCAAAATCGCCGAGTGTGTGACATCTTATGACGTGCCGTATATTTATAGCGATGAACGCGTGATTGCACGGTCGTGTCTGATATTTAGGGTGACTGACCGGCAGATAAATTCCTTCGGGACTTGGGGCCGAACAACTCCCGTACGACGTGGGTCGGGGCACATTGTCGCATCGCGCCCCTCGAATTCGAAGAAAACGCGCACATATTTCGTAGATTATACTGGCAGAATTTTGACGATAGATTTTTTTGCATTTGCCTAATCTTTGATTGCTGTAGGATCTTATCGACGAACTCGCCAGACTGTCTTTTACCGAGCCCATTTGTCTATCTCCTCGTCTGATTTGTCGTGTGATTTCGTTTGTTATTGAATGAAAGCGAGTGGATGTGATTTGCTTTGATCGCTAATGCCGAGTTTTTATAAAGCTAGTAAAGAGAACGACAAATTAATTATCTTACTATCTACTAATAATACAAATAAAAGCAGTTGCCATAATTTAAATAATGAAATATTCTTTTGTAAATTAAACTAACATGTAATAAATTATAAAAATTATATAATAAATAAATTTATAAATAAAGCATATATTTTTTCTCCGTCTTTAGCGTTTTTATTTTTGTTGTCGTTTCTAACAATAAGTTGGGATTTATTCACATGATTCATGATGTATTATAAAACTTGTAATAAAAAGAACGAACTTGTAATGTTTGACGATGGATCCTAATTATTTCTAACAAATCTATGGCAGCGAGTATAGTCGACTCATCAAAGTCACGAACTAGACTTCGGTTAATCATTGGCAAAACTTTTCTCCCCATGAGATTCGAGACCCTCCAGCACCACTAATGCTATAATGGACCAGAGATCAGCAGAAAGATCGCACGCGTCGATGTACATTTTGGTGTCACATCGTATGAAGAAAACGTCATCTATTTTTACGGTCATTTTTATTCATTAGTGATTAAACACGATGCATTTTATTATAATTTAAATCGACAATAGAGAAAAATATAAAAAATCTGTACTTTTTTTTTTCAAACTTTTCGCGTGTAAACAATTTTTCTCGAGAAGAATGGGATAAAAATTCTTTCTCTCTCGGACAGAGTTACTGTAGGTAAAGGATCGAGGCTTGGTTCGCGCTGTCGCGTGAGAATGGCCATGGCTATTCGGGCCACGTACTTTGATAACCGTTAATAAAAGCTTAAAGGACATTATCGTAAGCATTCGTCGGGACATTAAAAAGCGCACGTGCCCTTAACGGTAGGCCCTCGATGCAATTTTAAACAGCCATTTCCGACCCTTACTACCAATCGTCCTGGCTGACACATGTCCCCGATGCTGTTACATGAATCCAAGGGATCCATCGGGCTGAATACCAATCGTCCGTCACAATATAAGCAAAGTAAGGGCAGTAAACTATAGAGATGAAGGGTGAATGCATTTAGTTTGATGTACTGTATTTGCATGCAACAAATACATTCCGATTTTGACATGATTTCGATAAGAGAGCAATTGACTTATTAAATTAATTTATTATATAAAATTGAAACAACCTTAATAAATTTTGAATTTATTGCTCCAAATACACGAACTGTCATATCGCGAATTAATATCTGTTTTTCTGCACGAGTGAAAAAAACGAAATTAAAGCGGAAAAGGGGACGTGACTGAAGCATAGCGGTACATTAACCATAAATTCGTGGGTCCCCAGTGTCAAATAGCGAGTGTCGCACTGCCATGCCAATTGTATAAATTGGCTATGACAAACTTACGCGCTTGCCGGCACGCGTATTGTATATATACGTGCGCGAACGGCAAGATTTCGTCCGGGCGAAGGTATCGGCGACGGGACAATACTTTTTCCGTCGTAGAAATTTTGGTGCAGGTGTGTTTCGGGTCCCGCGTGGTCGTTTGAGACATCGTTCCCCGGAGGACTCGCTCGCAAACGTGACGTTCCACCTTCGACCACTCACGTACGCGGGGCACGCCGTCGGGTTTTGTCGTGCGATTCGTCGCGTATACAACGTTTTTCCCGCCGTCGCTCGTAAATCCTGACTCTGCCGGAGACGAATGTTGCTGCCGATTGCCAGAGAATGGTCTGGACAATGAGATAGGATGATACACATTTTTTATATATCCTCATAGAAGTTTTATCTCTGAGATAACATTAATTTAATACTACATGCAATACTTGAAGGAATTAATATTAATTAAATTTTGTATCGCAGAGAAGTGATAAGTTTAATCCTGCAGGAATAGGGTAATCTTGTGGTAAATAAAGCCATAGTTGTACGATTATGTATCCAAGATTTAACTCAATTTATTAGCCATTAGCGAATCAATAAATATATAAGAATAATAATTAAATAAAAAATTTATTCTATTTCTTAATGTAATTAATTGTGCTCTCGATTCGGTTAAATCATAACGAATTTATTTCTGTCCCAAGCGCGTTCGCAGAATCATCTCGTTGCCGTTCGGCGACCAGAATCACAACGATTAATTTCGGGTCTGTCGTCGACAATCGTTTACGTTCAGAAACGATTTACACCGAGCGTTTACCCGCGCTAAGAGCTTAAAACGCGTCGGGCAGGCAGGGTGAGTTTACATTCAGGGGGCGACGCGTGGGGTTGAAACCGCTCGTTTATCAGTAACCGACTCTAGTGAAAGCGACACCGAGGCACTACGCCGCACGAATAACAATCCCCCTACCTTTCTTGCCCGGGCGATGTGAAAAGTATTGCCGGCGCGACGTCATCCCACGCAAACGTCGCTGTCGGACGTTATTTATCCGGCCTAGCACTTATTTTTTTTATTTCCAATTCACTTAGCCTCCAACGAGGAATTTCCTGGACTTGAAAAACCTCGGGTCCGCACGTCGTAGGAGCGGAATCGCAAACGTGTCCCCGCCCCTGGAGAAACGTCAATTTTGATTTCCGTCGATTTTCCAGTAGCACGGTTGGGTTTGAATATTTTAAGTAAGTGCTCTCTTCTCAGTAAAAAAAAAAAAAAACTTTTTTAAGAGATTACATTACATGTGTGTTATATTCGGATACGCGTATAATATGTAGAAATAAAAAAATAATATCCATTAAAAAATTATCCGGATTATTTTATTTCCAACCGATCTTGGTTTTTCGCCGAAATTAATTATTGCATTCGGGGGTTTGGGGTTAATCTTGTGTGACCGATAACCGGTGTCCGCTGGCGCATCGTTCATTCTGTCGACGAGTAAAATTGAGTTCGACGACTGGCTGCGAATCTCATCTGGCGGGCGTCGAATTCAAACCGAAACAGGCATCTTCTTGTCGACCTATTTTGCAAGTGTCGTCGGTGCGCCGGGCTAATTTGTCAGTTGTCGAGTTAGCGTCCTCCCTAGGGGATTTCCCTACCGGAGGCGTATCCCGGCCCCCGTCGGGACGGTAATCAACCGGTGAATATCTGAACTGCAGCCTCCGAACTCGCCCCTTTGCCCCGCTCATTTATAAAGAAGAGGCTACCTCGAGACAGGAGGCGCGATTGATTCATCCCCCACTCCAGCCACGAATTTTCTCACCCCGATTCCTGCATTGTTTTTATTTCGGCACTGAAAAAGTCTGCGTTATTGGCTCACGTGTTAAAATACCGAAGTAGGGGATTATAAACTTTTAATTAATATAACTTCAAGTAAAATAAAGACACATGACACACTTTAAATGAAATAAAATAAAATAAAATAAAAAGCTATACATATAATTGAAGACGGTTAGCGAAAAGCGTCACTATGCATACATAACGTAGAAAACCGAACACGCGCTTGCTTTATTTTAAATACAGAAAGTGTGTGAGATAACGTGGCTAAGAAGAACAAGCCTAAAGTTAAACTTCCCGGTAAACGGGGTATGTAGGGACAATGCCCTTCACCCTTTTCGTGAACGCCGAGAAAGCGGAAACAGAGAGGATATCCCTGAAAAGCGGCAGTCAGTGTTTCGTGGCACGTGGCAGGTGGATTCCCTCTGTTGTCACAAGAGCGGCTCGTGCGAGCGTGCCACTTTTCTCGTGGCGGATTTCGGAGGCTTTGTAGTTCATCCATTTCCAGGCTTGAACCCCGTCTCTCCCCTCCCGTGCATTATTTAAATAAACAAGAGAAGCGGCGGGGGAGATTGGCTGCCGCTTGTACAACCGTCTCTCTCCCGTCTTCTCCTTCTTTCTCCATAATAAATGCGCTTCTCAGCTCTCCCTCTCTACTTTCTCTCGTTTCCTTCCATCTCTTTCTCTTTCTCTCTCTATCTCTCTTCGTCATTCTCGCACGCTCGAGCGCGCTCTCGAAACGTTACAGTGACGAACAATTATCCCTTCCACGAAAAGACGCGGCGCGAAAGCGGCGTACAAGTGACAGGCAAGGGGGTGCCTGTAACGGGAGGAGTCATCCCCTGCACCTTGTAATGAATTTTAAATTGCCCCGCATTCATAATGCAGTCTCGTTGACAGTCGGGATGAGCCGGAGATGACAAAGTAAAACGGCCGAGTTAATATTTCCGGGCGCGTGCGCCGCGAATTATATACCTCGACGGCGACGACGACGACGACGAGGGCTATAATGACGACGATAGTCGAACACGGATAGAAGCGCGAGATAAAGGGACGGGCAAAATTGTTTCGATATATAATGCTATCTGCCGTGTACGATCGCGGAATATAACAGCGTTCCCGATCCCCGTCCATGCCGCACGTTCGCCAGACTGATCGTAAGATCAGCAATTAGCTACGTTCCCCGTACGTACAAAGCTACGAGATGACTGCGAGCGGCCCCGCCCGAGCGTGACGCGTTGTCGCACGCTTTCATCGCGGGATTCAGTAATTAGCAATTTTTGCATAAAGCCCCGATAGCATCGCGGCGTCGGCCCTGTCTCGCGCTGGTATAATCTCGGTCCTCGACCGACCTTACGGGCTCGCGGAATATTTATTATCATCCGCGCGATCTTGCATCTCTCCGTCGGCGACTCGTTTCCCTGCGTTACGCATTTTTTTTCGCGACCGTAAATTATATCGGACGCGGGATCGAATCAAATTGCCCGTCCTCAAGGCGAATTTATGAAGAAATAATCGCACGCATTTACGACGGTAATAATAACAATTTTCATCGCAATAAAGGGTATGCTTGATTATGCATGTATAATTTTGCGAGTTCAATGAACGCGGCACTGCCAAAGTTACATCGCACATTCCAAAAATCAAGCTTATTTACTGACAGTTTGTTAACAATTGCGCAATACGCAACAAAAATAATAGAATACTGAAATGGTATTATTTAAAAGAGAAGAAGCTGTTGGAATAAAATATATAATATTTAAAAATTATACAAATATAATATAATACAAAAAAATAAATATATAAATATAATTTGATCATTATATAAAGCGTGTAAATAATCGCGTACTGTATTTGAGAATGCAAATGTTAATCTGCTAATCAAAGTATGCAATAAAAATCCAAATTTTAATAAGATGAATTATATCAATTCGTAAATATATGGATGCATGCATTTCGTCTCTCTTTCGTTTCATGTCAACTCCATTCAATTAATACGCTGTAAGGTGAAGTTACCTAGTCGCCGCAGTTGTATCGAAGGTTTCAGTTTGACGTGCATAAACCACGAACAATTCGTAGCGTAGTACGAAGGCACCGGACGAGTCTTGCAAGTGCTGTCTTGGGAGTCTCGCGCAGTCGTTGCACATGCAAGCCGCGCGATCCCGCGAGACGAATCAGCCGAATTGCTGCGGGGAGGACGAGTTCTCTCTCTTGGAATCCTGGACGAACTCCGTACGTTCACCGACCTGCGGCGTATACGCGGAAGAAACCGGGACAGGTAGACGCTTCGAGACGCGCGAGTATTACACGCCACGAAAATAGACGGTCCGCCATGTGGACAACGTCGCGGTTTCCGTATCGATAAACAGCACTCAACCCTCCGTTCGAAAAACCCCGTTATCTGCCACTTCTTTGATCTCTCTGTCGACTCCGTGATCTCTCTTGCCGCCGCTCTTTTGCTCTGTCTCGATCAAAGGTGGTCGCGTTATCCTTCAGATAATTCTTCCAAGTCTTAATCATCGTTTATTTCTGCGTTCGCCGCAGATATCGATAGTGTCGTAATCATGTTTTCCGCAAAACAACTCGAATTATTTATATTTAACTGTATTAACACATGTATTCAAAAATATTTCAAGTGTAGTGCTACTATAACAATGTTTCATGAAATACAAAATATATATACATACATTTTATTGGGCACTCCATTCCGGCCTAAAATTTTCAAATATTACGCTAACATAATGCATTATTGGAAAAACTATTTTCCGAGAAATACACGTATAACGGTAGAGCCGAAATATGTCTCGAAGGCAGACGATCGAACTTTCCTCGACGTCTCTAGGTGTCGGCTGCATCCATCCAAGGGATTGGCGAAGAGGAAGGGATGCTGTTAACTCGGGCGGGTTTTCTTGCGAGTTCCCTTCTGGTATCTGCAGGTGGATGTTGAGTCAGTGATACTACCAGAAGGCACTTGGAGCCTCCGGGCCACTCCGAGTCTGTAAGTTAGCCGCGTACAATTACCATACATCTCCGCGGCTGTAACTCCCGGCGCCGTTACAGCGCCCGGACGAGAGCTATGGATGGATATCCCAACTTGCGAGACCGAGCGGCGTCTCGGGAAACATCTGTACGGTCAAATTGAAACTGAACGAGGTGAACGGGCGCGATGAATATTGTCGAAATACGCGGCCAAATATCCGGCAACAAAACCGAAAACGAAACTGTCGGATTCGACGATATGCGACTTACTGGAAAATTTTTTCCCGAAAATCAATAAATCATATTA